TGATTGAATTTTCTAATCCAAACGTAATGCGCCTTGATGTATTATGACAAATGTCTGGCACATTTCCGGCAATGCAGTTACAGTCCACTACTAATATTTTAGATTGATGATTGTAACGAGTATCAGTTTAGAATTGCTTATTTACAGACGCTTAAGGCTTATATACTTTTCTCATATTTATTCTTCTTCTTCTACCTGGCAATTTCCCAGCTATAGCCAGGGTCTGCCTTACTTGTTGTGAATAGTTTTTGGCTATTTGTTTTTACGACCGGCCGCCTGCCTGACGTCAACCCTCTTTTGGGAATCAACATTAATCAGTGATGTCTAAATACTCTTAGAAAGTACATATGATTCGGAAAAATCACATTGGTACTTGCCCGGGCCAGGATCGAACCCGCGCCCTCGAACCCGCGCCCTCAGCGACGAGAGGCGGGCCCTTTAACCACTGAGCCACCGCTGGCTCGTAACTTTTCTCATATTTATTAATTCATTGAAATAAATATTACTATACTATATGAATATTACAAATAAATGTAAGGTAAAAAATACACATATATCTTTGAGAATTTAATCAGTATTGTACGCAGAGCCCAATAAGGATTTTTTTTTTGTTCTCGTAATAAAATTTGTTTTCAACAAATTATATATTCTGACACGTCATATATTTTCTAAGTTTACTTGTTTGCTTGTTATTCGTAACACAATTTATTGTTCGTTGTGTTTCTTTTATATTACTTGAAGTGTTTTTTGTAAAAATATTGCTATAATCTATTGAAATAAAGGATTTGTAAGAACTGGGTTAAACTTTAAGAAGATTTAACTGTGATTATTAAACTTTTTATCTTATTGTAGATAAAAATTCATTAATAATAACAGTAATTTACCTTATGTAAAATTCATATCCCTACTTCCCTACTAATATTATAAATGCGAAAGTAACTCTGTATGTCTGTCTGTCTGTCTGTTACGCTTTCATGCCTAAAGTCATCTGTCAAAACAATTTTAACGTATAAAGAGATCTAAGAATTTATTCATTTGAATGAAACTAATATTTTCGGATATACTACTTCATTTTTGTGCAAAACTACATACTCTCGACGTTTCGGTTACTTTTCAGCAACCGAGATCACGGACAGACGAGATGTGAATGTCAGTCTGTTGGTCTTGTTATTTATCATCTATCTAATATTAATTTCATTTAAATTTAAATATATATATATATATATATCATTACATTACTGTAATTCCGTTCGTGAAGAATTGATATCATTAAAACAGTTCCGCTTGATTTGAAATTTCTTTAATGACACTTTTATTTATTGCCCTATTTCATTAATTAATTGCTTTCAAAATATATCCATAAACACCGTAATATATCCAAGATTCCAGTGCGAATGAAGCATTAAAAAAATATACATCCATATAAAAAAAACTTTTCTTTATTTTGTTTTTTTTTTCATTTAATGAAAATGAGACGAAAATTGACAGAATAACGACTTTCTGTGAGTTGTTCAGTAAACATCTAACAAATTTTGCCGCCTTATATCGATTATAATATGTAGTTATTATGTGTTGAAATATTTTTTAATAAAAACTACTTATCTTGAAACTTGTTTGATGATTTTTTAATTAATTCTATTAATAATAAATTGTGAAATATTTATAAGTTATTATTTTACTTCCAATGTTTTCCAAAGTCAGTGCTGGCCTAGTGGTTAAAAGGCCCGCTCTCGTGCGCGAGGGCGCGGGTTCGATCCTGGCAAGTACCAATGTGAATTTTCCGAGTCACATGTACTTTCTAAGAGTATTTAGACACCACTGACAGACGATGAAAGAAAACAATGTGAGGAAACCTAGACTTATATTTTCACAATTATAAGTTTGAACTCACCAACCCGTCTTGAGCAAGCGTGGTGATTAATGCTCAAACCATCTCCATGTGAAAAAGAGGCCTTTGCTCTGCAGTGGGCTCTGATAGGCTGATGACGACGAATAACATCTATAACGAATCGAAGATAAAGTTACGCTAAACGATAAACTTAAATATGTGTTTTTAAAGTACACTTAGGATAAAACTGCTTAAACGTTTTTAATATAACTTTATGTTTAGGTTGTTATAAAGCTGGATTATATACAGGTTAGTGTCTGTCTCATTAGGAACTAAAACGAATGCAACTAATAATAGGATGCACAATTTTCGCCAGTAAAAATTGCAATAAAACTATGATTTTTAGATTTTACTTCATGAAAACTGATGCTTATACCTCTTCTTCCCGTGATAAAAGTTATTACGAAGTAGTTGAAACGTCACATAATTAGTAATTTAATAGAAACGGGAAATAAAATCCGAAAATCATATTTTTCTATACTTCTTCTATATCTCCATAGTGTTTAGGAGTGTTTTAAAGACTTTCCATTTATTTTGCGTATGTTATGTAACATGATACTTTAACCAAACTTAAATATACCAACAAATACCTGGCCAATATGTATACCTTACAGATTTTTTTTATATCCCAAAGAGACAAAAGAGCAGACGGCCTACCTGATAGGAAGTAGTCACCGCCGCCTATGGACATCTGTATTCTGCAATAGGTACTCGTATAAAGGGCGTTGTAGATGCGTTGCCGGCCTTGACAAAATTTATATTCTCAACCTAATAAGATTATGATAGATAATATTTGAATAATTAACACTAACTCACTGACTAAACAGGGATCACATTAATAGCTTAACTTCAAAAGTAACTAGTATGTTGTATTCCATAGGTCGCTAATTCTATTAACGCCCTTGTTAATGTTAGTTTTCTTTCTATAGTTCCTATTTAAAATTTAGTTTATATATATCTGCACATAATCAGAAAGAATAACTTATATTAAGTCAAATCGCTATTGGATTCTAGGAAAAGCGACTCAATTTATATTTAAATCATGCCGAAACTAAAGCGATAAATGTTATGAAATTGTGAATTGTTTACTCGGAACATGTTATACTAATTAAAATAGCACTTAATTTTAACGTAACAAACGTAATCCTAAATTAATTTTGTTTCCAAAACATCCGATGTTTATCAAAAAGCTTTGAGAATCACATGTAAGTCGTAAATCCTGCTCTTAATTGAATAAACTCAAAATAAAAGCAACACGAAGTAATAGATAAAAAATATATTCAAAATCATTTAAAAAATTTATAAATTGTACCTACTAATATTATAAATGCGAAAGTAACTTTGTCTGTCTGTTACGCTTTCACGCCTAAACCGCTGAACTGATTTTAATGAAATTTGGTACAGAGATAGAGTTGACTTTGAGAAAGAACAGGATAGTTTTTATCCCAGACTTGAAATTTTCTTTTGGAAACGCGATATAACCGAACTCGACGCGGACGAAGCCGCGGGCGGAAAGCTAGTATTCCATATTGTTTATCAAGGCTCAAGAGTATATATTTGTATTCAATATTTGATCTTGGACATAAATTAACCTAGACGTGACATTTTTGGTCCAATGTTATAAAACATGTTTAGTGAGTTTTGTAACAGGTTATTTATTTCATAAAAATTACATATGTTTTTTGTATCATTTTTTTATCATTACGTCATTAGATCACATGCATGCAATAAAATGTTATTAATTGATCTTACGAAGAAAACATCGTTAAGAAAAGACGTAATTATTCAAGAAAATAGAAGTAAATTGTTGTAAGAAGTAAGGGGATTATTTAAAATCGAGAGATCCTTATCTATTTTGATTAATAAGTAATCTTTACTAATCTTTTCGCGTTTCAGACTATGAAGTTTAATGAAAAGTCCGATTTTATTTTAATTAAATATCAGCCATAAAAATTAGAACTAAATTTGTGTTGTATCTCTTAACGACTTTATTTTGATCGAATTTTTAATATTTCATTATTATTTTATGCTATAATTTAATTATTCTAAAACAGGTCATAATGTTTTTAAGTTTCTTAAAAAAAAAACAGATTATTAAGATTGTTTTGATATTTATTTAATTTCAATCCCGTATTTGGCTGTATAGTATAGTTCCTTTGTCCGTTTTACTTCGAACAAAGACATTGGAAATATTAAGTGTTATAAAACCACTTAATGTGAATTATTTATGAGATGAATGTTCATGTTATATAAGAAAATTACACTAGCTGTATCCCATAATTATTTATACAAGATGGATGACTTCATAATCGGTTCCACGAAAGTCTTGACGACATTATTTTCTGTTTCCGCCTCCCGTCTCCTAGGCACGATGATTTGTCTTCAGTTAGGAAAAAATATGTCATAATCAAAATAAATTATGATCATGCATTGAGATAACTTCCAACTTATCGACAAGATAAGTTATAAATATGATTTTTCGTAGAAGTATTAATGGCATTCTATTCAATAAAGAATAAAAACATTTAATATTTAATATCTGTATGTACTTAATATGTAGAATTATGAAATTAGTGGAGTAAATAATTTAAAAAAAAATTACAAATCTTCATAAATATGTATATAGGTACCTATTTAAAATTAAGTAAATGATTCTTTTATTTGATTAAATGTCTTTAACATTTGACAGTTAGCGTACTCCTGACAGATAACGTGAAGCAAAAATACTAACTGACGTGTTGCCATTTTATTACATAAATAATATTGTTTTTACAAAAATAACAAATACGCTCACTAAATCCATTAAAAAATCCGATTCAATTTATTATTATAAAAATTAAAATCAGATAAATGTCATATATAATTTCAAAACGATAACAATCTTTCTAGAACCGGCGTGAACAGCTGTTCAGTCTATTGATTTTTCTTATACCCGCAACCAAGTTCACTGCATTCAGCCTGCAATTACGCATTTGTGATCGACAAGGATTTTTAACAAGACCATTTCCTGTAATTAAAAAAGAAAATGTGATAAGAATTAGAAGTTATGAACAATTAAATATAATGTAGAGGTTATGTTGTTATTGTGTTAAGCTGTCAAAGTTTACAAGCCATGGGTTCAATACGAGGCAGTTTGCACCGGCGTAATTTTATAAATAATCAAATGGATGATATGCCCATGGATACAATAGGGCTGGTTTCACCAATCAATGCGTTCTTACACGGCAATTTCAGTAATGACGATAATGATTATCCTGAAAAGTAAGTTTTCTATATATGGAGAAGATTAAAAACATTTTGGCCACTAAATGTTATGTTATCTCCGCGTAACTGTTATTCACATAGGTTTATAATTTTATCTGCTTTTATCTTGCATAATACATAGTAGTCAGTAAAAAAATATCTTTAAAAAATTATCATCGAAACTTCTTAAATTGAATTATGCCCAGATAACACAATACGAAAAACGAACTATATGAAAAAAAATACAAGTTTATAACACTTTTAAGTATAAATATATATTTTTTTTCAGACCCTTACGATCGAACACGAAACTTATAATATTCAGTCTGGTGATGCTAGCGTTTGTATCCGCGCTAAGTGGCTACCTGATCGGTCAAGCGGACTATACTCCGTCAAAGTTCACTGAGCCCGAAGACCCTGAACAGCCGTTACCTCCATCACCATCATGGCTTCACGTGTTCCAGAAGGCAGCTGTCTGCACAGACGCGCCACATTGCTCAGGAATCGGCAGGTAATAATTAATATGGAAATGAATACTATAGAGTATAGAATATGACTTCCAATTGTATTAAATTTACAAACAAAAAAAGTTTAAATAACGTAAGGAAAGTCAGATATACGTAATCAACTCTTACTGATAAGCATTGCTGGATAGAACCAAGTGAATTTTTCTAGCTATGGTGTTATATTTAATAAAATATATGGAATAGAAAAAAATGTAACTTTCAAAGAACATACAAATCCGGTTTTTAAAATCTGGTTATCTTGCAGTATTTAATTGGAATAGTAAAATAAAATTCATATTTTAATGGATATTTCAAAAAGCGTTGCGAAAATATTAGGCTTGACGAGATATATTCAGATATAAGTGTTAATTATAGTAAGAAATTGATAATTTCATATTTTTACTTCAATAACATTTTTAAAAAGCAATAAATAGAATGTAGCAGTTTTTGAAGATCATAACTGGAACTCAATTATAGCCAATAGAAAGAGATCAGGTTTAAAGAAATTAAATATACATATATACAAGTAAAATTAACAGAGCATATGTTAACACAATATTAAAAGATGAAGCTTTTATGTAATACATAGGTTAATTACAAATGTCCGTGCAAAAATACGCATGCGCGTGCGTGCACGCAGTTCGGAAAACTTTCTCATCAATGCTCACAATTATTAAATTAAATAAAAATACCTTTTAAGAGCGATAATTAGGCTGTATAGAAAAACAAATTACCTAATATGCTTTTTCAAAAAAATAACTCCTAGCTAAAGAATAAATTAAGCCTATACTTTGAAAAAGGGACAAAAGGATAAACTATTTTCAGTAATTTAAGCAAACATATTTTGTAGAACGGAAATTATATTCATATATTACTTAAAAACATGAAATGTTTGACGTTAAATAAAAAAATTAATATAATTCATAGATTAAAAACATTTTATATAGTAATAAGATTCCAAAAGAAAATATAGAACTATTAACAACATACAAAAAATAATACGTGATTAAACTCAGACTGAGAAAAAACCTACACAAAAATATTTCTGTTTTGTTAACACATTTTACGCATCATAATGGATAGACTATAAACTTCCGTCTGCTAAATAAATATATTTGGCAAATTTGACGTATCGTTTAAATAAATACAACCTACACGTTGCAAACTTTTTGATAATCAGTCAAAAAGAACTTTTGTTGTCAAAGAGTATAGAAACACATTGATTGGGTTCCAACTGCTTTCTACATGTAAACAATAATAAACAGTAAATAAAAATAAGTATGAGTAAATTACTCGAAGATGTGACGTAGACACAAAATCAAACAGGTTCGTTATAAAAATTAGTTTACCTAGAAACATCCATATTTAATTAACATTATTTAAACATACTTTACACAATCGTAGTTTCAATTAAACAATACAGGGAACGCCCAATTTCCATTCTCCAGTCTCTTTTGATATTATTGCTCTCTAGAAAAAAGCTTGGGTCGAAAAGACATTCATGACAAGAAGACCACATGAGTTTTCATTTAACTGAACGAAATAAAACTAGGATTTGAGATAAAACGAGTTATAACTATGATCACTCTATGATTATTAGAATCTAGTAGTGATCTAAGAACAATTAACTTCAAAGGCTATATACTCGTAATCTTTACTAACCGTGAAATTTGGACTTAAGGTTTCTTTAAACTTATCATTTTTTATAACAGTCTTGAGTTAATAGTGAGGAATTTCAGATATTGGTTTTGTATAGTATATGATTTTTAACATAATTTTATTTAATAAAATTTAAAGTATTTAAATTGATTCAAAGATGACTTCAAAGAAATATATCTGAAGTACAAGCTTCCAATAAATTGACAATTTTAAAGCATTTATAAATTTTGTATTCTTCCTGGCTCAAGAATCATTTAAATCATCAATACAGATTAACGATGTATTGTTATACTTGGTGCTGCTAACATTTTCCTCCAGCTACTATTAAAAAAACCTATTTTTGGGCTCGGATTATATTTGGTATATTACGAAATAAAATAATAGAAGAAGAAATTAGAAGCGAAGCAACAATATTAATCTTACGGCCTGTATTACACAATAAATCATAATTGTTTGTATAGGAACTTAAACTTATGAATTGGTATTATACTTCCTAACCTTATTACAACAAAGGCGAAAACTTTAGGGTCTCAAGTATATAAACAAAGGCGATATCCCCAGGGCCATTCTGTCAATAAACGGTTCAGCAGTGGACGCGGCTATTGCGGCTATGTTCTGCAATGGTCTACTCAATCAGCAGAGCATGGGTATAGGAGGCGGGTTCTTCATGACGGTTTATATCAAGGAAGAAGAGAAGGCATACTCAGTTATCGCGAGGGAGAAGGCTCCGGCTGCAGCGAAAAGGGACATGTTCAATGGAAGCTCACATGAAGCCTCCAAAGGTAAGCGCTTTATTTTATTTACGATTTCCTGCACTCATTATATATTACATAATATTAAGAACATTCGCCTTAAATAATAACGTATTTATTATTGTTGGTATGGAATTTTAGTTCGTAGAGTAAGCATAGACAATTATAATACAGATTATATTATTGTCTATGCTGTTACGGTAATTCAATGAATGACCTTGTTGTAATATTTATACAAATGTATATATGGAGTGATAACAAGACATTAAGAAACACTGTTTTAGATCTAGAAAAAATAAAGGACTTACTTTTATATCAGATAATATGACACGTCATATAAATAACAGTATTTCCACACTCGCACAAACCAACAAGGGGACATTCAAATTTATTCTATTTTTTTTTTTCATGATTATCTTATAATCAATTTTATATACCTTCGCTTAACTGTAAAATTTAGGGCGTAACGATTTATATCATCTGAATGAGTACATAATAATGTTAGCCTTACAAGTATTTTTATTGGATTGACCTTTTAACCTTGTTAAGAAATTTTGCTGTTTGTAGGTAGCCTTTCTATTGGGGTGCCGGGTGAAGTACGTGGCATGTGGGAAGCCCACAAGCGTTGGGGAAGACTGCCGTGGGAGAAGCTGATCAAACCAACTCTAGAGTTCTGCAAATACGGCTTCACCATCTCCAAGGCGATGTACGACGGAATATTGAGCGCGAAGTACATCAAGAATGATCCTACGCTAAGGTTATATGAGTTTTTAATTCAAATCCTTTACCATTATAAAATATCAACAAAAAAGTCTTTTTGTGACTCAATATGAAGGATGAATTATAATTCTAAAAATAAATATACTTATAGTTCAAGACTAAATTCTTAAAATGAGTTCTAGCGTATACAAATATAGAGTTTTATAAATGTTAGATGAATTATTATTAGTTTAAATAGTAAATACTAAACTCTCAAAAAACGATTACATTGTATTTGAATAAGCACTAGTAGCGTCATCTGTGGATAACGGGTCACATATTAAGTTTATCGCTTTGTATTCTGTGCTGATATAAAATGAAATTTACTTTGGGAACGAAGAAGTATATTTATTATAAATACAATGATTTTACAACCAGGAGAATGTACTGGGACTCTTCGAAGAATGCGTACCACCGCCCAGGCACCCTCGTCACGCCAAGTCCAGCGCTCTGTAGAACTCTCGGTAGGATTGCAAAGAAGGGTGGTGACGAAATGTACACCGGATCATTGGCTGCTGATCTCGCTGATGATCTCAATAAGATGGGAAGCATCATCACCGCTGAGGACCTAAAGCTATATCAGTGAGTGTCACTCGTCTTCAGATAATGCCAATGGCATTATGCCATACACGTCAATACCTACTCGTATCTCTATATTAAATGGTCAGTTAATAGTTTAATACAAAATATTTATCAGCTAAAATTATGTAGAAATCAGTTATCAGCTAAAATTATGTAGAAATTCTTTTACTTGTTATTATTTACATGCGAAATGTATCGATTTAATGCTGTCATAGACATCATGTCTGCGATTTCAAGTTGTGACCTTGAATTTAATTTTATTTATATAGATTTCACCAAGATAATTTTTTTGTATATCTTGCAATGTTTTCTCATATACAGGCCAAAGATAACGGAACCGTTGGTTATGCCGCTTGGTAACGGCGACGTCTTATACACACCTCCACCACCAAGCAGTGGCGCCATCTTGGCTAACATCCTGAACATACTAAGCGGATACAACTTCACTAGCGAAGATATACAGGGAACGGAAAACAAGATACTCACGTACCACAGGATCATTGAGGCTTTTAAGTTCGCGTACGCAGCTAGAACCAGACTGGGGGACATGGATTTCTTGGATTTAGAAGGGGTTAGTAACATTAAACAACTTAGTTGTAATTTGTGCTAATTGTTCTTGACATCAGCCTTAATAGATAACGTTGAGCACTTATTACTTATTAGGCCCCAGGCAAGAACGCTGAAAGAATTTTAGAATTCTAAATTTAAAATTAGTCATAAAGATTTTCTTTAACAAAAAAACTAAGCTCCAAGGGCCGTATAATTTGAAATGCCTAGAATTATCTCAAATGTTTATGACCAATACATTCTAAGATACGCATAACAATAGATAATACAAACAAGTACAAATTCCAGTTCATCAAGAACCTAACGTCAACGGAGTACGGGATGGAATTGATGAGGCAGATCGATGACTTGAAGACGAGTAATGACAGCAGTCACTACGGAGCGACTTCATACAACAAACCTGATCACGGAACAGCTCACATCTCAGTCATATCTGAGGATGGGGACGCCGTTTCCGTCACGAGCTCCATCAATTTCTAGTGAGTCACATAAATATCAAATCCGTTTGCTATTCATGTGAATGAAACGTTTTACTACATGTATGTACCTATTCAAAGCCTTAAGATAGACTGCCAAATACTAGATTACGCTTTTGTATCAAATAAACAATAATCTCGATCTTTTTTTTCTTTGAGATTTTCTTTTACGCCCTATTATTATTCCTTATAAATTCTCGTATTTATAGAAATATTGTGTAAATGGTTTTTTGGAATTAGCTTGCATTGTTTATTGAATATCGGCACAGTAAAGAGATTGTGTTTCAAGATTGTTTATAGTAGGAAACTTTGTATGTACAATTAAAATACAGGTAAAATAAAATCGAACTGTTTTAATACCATTGAAATACATACAAAAATATACCCCTTGTAACTGTTAGGATTTTTATTAAACACTTAGTCGGATTTTGAATAATTTCAATAATTTAAAATCTACAGCTTCGGTTCAGGTGTCACGGCAACCAACACCGGCATTTTGTTGAACAATGTCATGGACGATTTCTCATCGCCCGGCTTCACGAACTACTTCAACCTTGAGCCCTCGCCAGCCAACTTTATTGAACCTCATAAACGACCCATGTCCACAATGTGCCCTAGCATCATCATCGATAGAAATGGAAATGCCAAAATGGTGATCGGAGCCGCCGGTGGCACAAAGATAGCTTCAGCGGTAGCTTTGGTGAGTTATATAAAGCGCCATCTAGTCGAATGCTTTGAACTAAAATAAATTTATTAAAGCGCCATCTATTGTCACTACGATGAACTTCATAATAATTTGTCTATTTCAAATACTATATCTTGTGTCTAAACAGGTAGCAATGCGGAAACTTTGGTTCGGACAAACAATAAAAGAAGCCGTAGATGAAGCACGAATTCATCATCAAATATTTCCAATGCATGTTGAATACGAATACGGAATCATTCAGGTGAATATATGTATTTCCTTATACGTGATATAATAAGTCTGATATAACACTTTAGTTTTTTTAATATGTACCTAATATTACCTTCAATAGTTTTTTCCATTTATGTAAACCTCCTATCGAACATTTGGTCTGATCTTGTTTTATTCTTTTGGTACGGTCTCATAAAATTGGAAAAAATAGATTACAAAGATATTTCTTTTCGAGCTCAGGAAATCTTTATCGGCATTTATTATTTAAAAAAATGAAAATAGTTGCAAAGCCAGACCAGGATCACAATATACACAAGAATCCTCCCTTTACATGTTTCTTTATTAAAATGATACCATTTTTCTGTATATGTTCTCATAAGAAACTAACCAAATATCCAAATTTTATTCCCATACAATTTTGAACTTAGGTACTGCATACTATAATTTATCAAATAATATATAAAATTATCAATAAAAACAGGACATCATCAAAGGATTGCGCGCTAAAGGTCACGGTATGGTGCGTTACCGCGGCAGAGGATCTGTTGTGTGCGCCCTCTATCGGAACAAGACCGGCATCTACGCCAACGCGGACTTCAGGAAGGGCGGCGATGTCTCTGGCATCGATTAAGAACTTTTATTTCTAATATGTGGCTGTTTATATAAAACATGCTTACATCCCGCTTACCCCATCTTGTCATTGTGTTAAATGTCATTATTGACAATCTAACAAATAATGACATTTCTGTCACTTTTTTTTTAAATCGCCCATAACAGGCCGCAGGTTTTTTCTATAAGGCTGAGATATTAAAAAGCCAAATAAGTTTATTTTTACACAGTACATTAAACAATGGTTAAGATATAATTAACTATTTTGACGATAATCAACGTTGTTGCAATTGCATATCTGTATCAGAACTATTGTTCTCATTTTAAACAAGGATTTTTTTAATATCCCAGTTGTGAAAGGCCTAAGTTTCAAAACATCTATTTGGAATATGATAGTTGCTGGATGTCAAATTTAAAAATTCACCAACATAGCAGGTATCATAATAAAGTAATATATGTATACAACTAATGCATTTAATAAATGTTTGTAAAAAAACGTTCTGAAATTATATAAATATAAGCTGAACATCAACTACTAAGTGGATCTGATGTTGGCAAATATTTTAATTCCCATCTATAATGTACAATATGTACGATAAACTCATTCTACTACCTGGCAATTTCCCAGCTTTAGCCAGTGTCTGCCTAAACGATAAACTCCTCATGTAATAGTAAATGTATTTTATTAACCAAAATCCACTAAAACTTCTTAAGTATATAAAGCATGGCAGATGATAATTGTCAGAATTAATTTAATAAAAATAAAAGTGTTGTGAAATAGTTTTAAAAGATAAATTCAATCTCTTAAATAAATGTAAGTATAACTAAATGTATACATACAAAGTATGGCTATAGGAAAACTAAGATGACTTCACTTTAACAATGTAGACGGTGAATTTAAAATATATATATTTATATATATTACAATGAATTTATCTGAAACAGTATTAAAATAAATAAATAGTTGTAGAATACATTTTTTATTGTTTATGTAAATAGCCTTTAATTAATTTATAATTTGATTAAACGATAAATATTATCTTCGTATCATTTCCATCGATGTGATTAATAAATATTTTACATGTTATCGTATTGCATTTTGAATTTCTATTTATGTAAAAAACAAATACATATATAAGTTCGCAAACAATGCAACGAACGTTAAACCAGAGAACACAGCAGTGATTTTATTTAATTATTAAACAATAACTTTTAAAAGGAAGATAAAGAGAATCCCTTTTATCGTAAAATTTTATTCTGTCGGAATGAATTTACGGCATTATATACTCAAATGAGTTTAATCACCGTAAAAAATATCAGGCAAATGTTAAGAGTTAAGGAACGAATCAGGTAGGTAAGCAAGATAACAACATATTCATTTTATATTCAAGATATCTCCTCCAAAATTTTATTAATAGCTTTTGAGATCTCCGTGAAAAACGTATACCTAGTCAAAATACAATATGGCAGTATAATTAATTAATTATCAGTACGTGCTTACTTTGAGAGTGTTGCAATAACCCACCCAAGTGATATTAGAAAATAATATATCTACTATCTAATAGATGGCGCTACACATAATTTTAAATTGCAGAAATCAAGGTTGTATGCGGCTTAAGCGAATTAATGAAATAACTTGATTGTTAGCATCCGTATAACCATAATTATAATATATTTGTTTAAAAATGTGGCTAACACCCAATCCAAAAACCATATATGATATTAATAAAGATTTTGAAGCATAATTTATCAAAAGCGTTTATTTTGACAGTCGAATGAAATTGTAAGGTTATGTTGCATTTACGTAATTTAAAATGTATATCTATATTAAAACGTTTTATTTAAATAATCTTTTCATCATTATTTATAATTGTCAACATCGAAAATGTATCTTTTTAAAATTATAATATACTTTTTAAAGTAATATTGGATTATAGTCACGTTTACTGAAACCATACTAAGCAAAATCTTGTTATAGTACACATGCCGGCTTATATTTAATCTCTGTATTATTTTTAATATATTATTTATATTTGTTTCAAAGTATTATTTGATGAGGTTATATGGATGCATACGACAAGTCAGGCGTTAAATTAATGAGTATTTTAAATACAAATATTATAAGATAACTCTTGCAGCACGTTTCTACTTCGTCGTTAAAACAATGTTGAATATATTTTGATTTTATCATTCATAACATGTCACGAAAAAGGTGCTTCAAGTTAAAATATAAATGTTACCCTATAGTGCACTGTCATTATATTTATTGTTATTTAATTTAATTTATTATATCTAAATAGTTCATAACAAATTTAAGTCTATCAAATATCAATATAATATTTATTACTTATTAGTATAATTATATTTTATTTTACACATAAACAAATAATACGCAGTAGGTCTTATATCTTTGTATGTTTACCAGCCGGCTTTCCCACACATGCACATTCTCTAAATAAACAAAGTCTTTCATAACCGGGTCGAAGCCGTCCCAAGCACCAATCACGTTTCGAGAATTTTATCGACGCGCATGCGGTCACTGACGTGTCGCGCGCTGCCTATATAAGCCAACGTCGGAACGCGAAATCGAACATTACGTACAAATTCAAGTGACGCTGTCGTGAGAAATTAAGAGTGATTCTTTTTCGTGAACGCAAATAAATCTAGTCGAAAATATGTCTGAAGCCTTCTTTGATGAGTATGATTATTATAACTTCGAATACGACAAGCACATTTTCTCCAGCCACAGCGGCAAGCAGCGGACAAAGAAGGAGGTGAGTCAGCACACAAATCACTTCGATCCGTCCGGCCATTCTAGAAAGATCGTTACGAAGTTGGTTAATACAGAGCATAATAAGAAAGGCGGCAAGTAAGAGCTAATGAGTTGTAGAAATAAAAACGACTATGGCTTGTAAAAGGAACGCTGATTTAATGCCGAACGATTTGAGGACGTTATGGCGGATACCCGAAGAAAGCACGGGTCGCTCGTCTCTGAGATCAGTGGAACAGCCCAGGAAGTTTCTGTTGAACCATTGTTTTTATTATGCACACTACAACGTGAGGTGTCGACGGAGCCAGACACTTCGTAGCCCCGTCCGCATACACCGGTGATGTACATCAAACACCGTTCCGTATACTGATCTCTATAACTGGGCTTGTTGTAAAGCTCATTTTTCTGTGTTACTAATTTCTAGTTAGATATTACGTTATTGTATCGTTACGTGCTGCGTCGATGACTGTAATTAATTTAAGGTTAATAAAAAACTTATTTAATGAACGTTTTGTTTTATTGAGGATAAGTTTGTCACACACTTTACGCACACATCAACTCTTGTTTATACACAAAAACAACCTTGAGACTCGGCAGACTGAATCACAATATGGTTGACCTTGTACGCTTTATCAATGTTTTCCAGTTTTTCTACGTCTTAAATATTTCAAACGTCACGTCACATTTTATTTTTCTGTATTCATTATAAAAAATGGATAAGCAGTTATAAATTTATTCATCGAACTGTCAAGTTTCAAAAATAAATTACAAAAATATTTTATACTTTATATAATAATGATAAAAAATTGTTATAATTTTTAAATGGTGTAATTATTATAAATATAATTAAATTTTCAGTTACATAATTTTCAAAAAAAATTTATTCTTTGACGTTTCAGAAAAATTATAATTTCAGACATATTACATGTCAGAATCTAAAAAAATGTTTATGGGTAGTATTTAGAGGATTTTTCGACTTGTAATAATACTTAACCAGGAACTAATAAGTGAGATACATTTGCGAATCACATTTAAAATAACTGTTGTAGCCAAACCGGTTTAGCAAGTAATGGGAGTGTTCTTATTGTACGAGTTCAGAGCACGTTTTTTTTAAATAAATAACATATAAATTATTTTATAGGTATAGCCGAGCCTCCGTCGCCGAGTAAAATTACTACTTACCATGATATTTTTTAAATAAAAATAATATTTTTGTCTAAGTTTAACACCTCTCTGAAGTTCAAAACATGCAAACGAGAAGGGTGCAGCATTTGTGACTATTCCATTAAAGAGAAATAAACGATATTTCTTTATATCTTAAGGTAATATGTATAAAAGCACACATTTTAAGAAGCACAGTGTACTGTGCACAAATGTGTGTGCTGTGTGCAAATGCAAAAGGATCAAGCACCTGAATTTGAATTGAATTTATAGACAGTGTTTAATTTGCCATAACGATGACAATTTTAAAATAAGTTTAGCACTAAAACCATACAAATTTCTTCATAAGAACATGATAAATGAATGATTATACCTACTTCTTTTATAAATGTACAAAATAAAATATATTAGGTATTTATAGAATTTCTTATACTAGACCTAAGTACATTTTGTGTTGAGATTAAAGAAATAGTGCTTTGTTTATTCTATTCTGTAGATACTATTCTTTATTTTTTCTTTCCTTTCAGTTATTAGCGTCCTTATTGATTTCACAAATGTCAAGTGTGATTTTATTAAATAGATATGTAACGTCCAAGCATATGCAAATGTACTGAAAATGTGTCAAACGTCAGTTAATTGATAAGTCCTCTGAAAGATATTTATTCAATGGCAAAATATTCCACGATTTCAGTGCAAATGAAGCCATAGCATAAAAAAATAATTCGCACAGACGTCACACGTATGACTGATAACCGCACAGATAAAATATAAAATAATAAACATCTTACAGACACATTCAAAACATAAACAATGTTATCGGTTTTATTATAAACAACTAAAAATAAAAAGATTATACCTTTTAAACTTATTTATATTATATTAAATATATATAACAACTTTATGGCACTTCACGAAAGGCCTAATGAATAGGATCAGAGTCTCTAAAAGATCTATGCTCGGAGTTTCTCTACGGGATCGAATCAAAAATGAGAAGGTACGTAACAGAAAGAAAGACACCACCATAGCCAAACGGATTGCCTCTTTAAAGTGCAGTGTGCAAGCCATGTAGCACGCAGAGCAGGTGGCCGTTAGGTTCTAGAAATTACTGGAATGGAGACCATAGATAGAAAAATACAGCGTTAGACGACTATCAACAAGATAGAATCGGACCGATTCCAATCGAAGAAAATGGAAGTCGATGAAGGAGGTTTACATCCAGCAATGGAACCCACACGGCTAAGATGGATGAAAATATGCACAATGATGAAAAGCTTCTAATCACCGACTTCAATTGATTAACAAATATAAATTGTAATTAATCTTTATTATTCGACATAAGTAGATTATTGCAACTATTTTCGTACATATTTTTTATATTGGCACCATGTCAATTGTCAACCCTAAAATACTTTGCAACGTGACATGGCACGTGAGGTCTGTCACCTTGGCTTTAAGTATCTTAAAGCCATTATCTTCATACATAATCTTGTTCGTGTGTTAATAAACAATTACGGGTATCAACATTGTACGTTCTGTTTATTAAGTTTATGAAAATACTTAAAAATCATAAATTTATATTGAAATTACAATTGATTTAAATCGGGAATGAAATACGCATTTCAGTGTTTTATAAAAATCAAAGCTATTGACTTACTAAAAAAGGTAGAATGCATTGAGTTAAAAAAAGAAGAATGAAGACAATGTCAAGACTGCTATTTTAGTATTTGACGTGACACGAAGATCACCATTTCTGCATAGCTACCATATAAAACCTATTTCCTTCTTTTTAACCTTTTGCTATTCGCTAAATATTGTCATGATGGTATTAAAAAAGTTCCTGTTCAATGAAACCTTCATAGATTTACCTCGTGTTTCTATTTAAGTTGAAAACGTCTTTTCCTGAAGGTAACAATACTTACATTGGCTATTGGACATACTAACGTGTTACCAACCTAAAAAATATTTAATCAAAATCATAAATAATCTTTTAGAGTGTCATCCACAAATTATAATTATATCAATGTGGGTTATCTTTTATCGATAAACAATTGTTCAAATACAAATAACTCACTGGAACTATAAAATAGAAACAATGGTTTTTGCTGTAATTAAACACAGTGCATTGACCGCGATTCAGGTTAAAAATAATAATTTTTACTTACTTAGGTATGGAAAGGCAGATTTTGTAATCTAAACGCATCAGCAATTGTATTATAATGTTGAGTCAAGTTTTTAAAAATATATTTAAGTAAAAATGATGTGGACATTAAGTTAGGGTCTCAAATGTATTTTTAATGTTGGCAATTATACGAGTATATACAATTGTAGTTTTTTCAGGCTCAAAAGGACTCGTATCCAGAGCCGTAAAAACGTTTACAAAAAAATATTAATCATAGAACATAATATTATGTAACTTCGCATCCACTACAAATTAATTATACCTTTGTACCAATTTCTAACAAAATTATTTTATAAGCTACGTAAATACATGTTTCTTAAACTTATTGAACAAAAATCGTAATCTTGCATTGTAATTACATATTTAAGAAAACCAAATATTTTCCTAATTATCTAATATGTCTATATATAACGTTATTTGCGTTATGTTTTGTTAAATTTATTATTTTTTAAAGAACACAGAATAATAATTACGAAGGTGAAAGACTACTGAGAAATTCGTGGAGGTTTTTTTGAATATTTTGACAGTTCTTGTTAAATATCATATATTTTTTTGTTTATACACATTCATCATTTTATTTAAATATTTTTGATTGTTTGCTTTAAACCTCAACATTATCTAAGTTAACTGGTTTGAAATTAAAATTAATAACTAATATCTTAAAATGCATAGATTTACTTAAAAGTACGAAATTGTTGGTCAATTCTGAAATTAAATTAACAAAACCCTGCTGATAGCTTGTCATAATATGTATATATATTTTCGACTTCTTTATTTTCTGCATTCGAAATTTAGTTTTTGTTTTTTTTATTTATTTTTTTAAAAATTTTTGTTTTTTTTACAATAATCCGTATTTATTTTATGTATGATAACTTCATGAAGCAAACGTCACTTTATTGTTTTGTCAAAACTAATAAATTTGTATAAATCCTTGGGCCACTAACTATAAAAGAAGAAGAATGAATACTTCTGCTTATATGTATATTAGTCATTATTAAGGATTCGTTAAAATAAAAATTTATTTTCCATCGTCACTTTTTTATTGTAATTATAACATAGCCATGTTTTAAAATTGTGTGTTTATTTTGATACTTTTTTTGTTCATAATTGATAATCTTATATGCATATGACTAATATGACCATATTAAGTTACATTATATTTATAGATTTATATAAAAAAGCAGTCTTTTGATTATATAGGTTTTTGTATAATATTTTATCAGTTTTCAAGGATTTCCTGTATTCATTTCCTGATACAAAGGCATTGAAAACAATGATAATAAAGATACGATTCAGTTCTATATAAACGTAAGTTTAAAAAAATATATGCAAAATTAATATCGAAATCGAAAAGAGGTAAAAATATATACAAAATATGTAAGTTTAAATGCTTTAATAGTTCTAAGACTCTTTTTCAGTAGATAATAAATAGAAATAATAAAGATATAAATAGTTATATGAGTAGTTATGTTTCATACAATTGGAACTGCGACGAGTATTATTTAAAAATCAAATACTATACTTCTAAAATTTTCTAAGGCAATATAATCTAACGATAAATTTTAATATTATAAAATTCTTATAGTACGTCGTTATTGGGTCATGTACATTATTCTTAATCTTTTCATATCTTATCTTTACAATGTCATATTTCCAAAATTAATAATCTCTTTTCAAAACAATTATTTATATTGTAACTAGCTGACCCGGCAAATGTTGTTTTGCCATATAAAAAAATAGAGGTTGGTGATAAAGTAAAAATTTTGGGTTATATGTATTTTTAATGCTACATCATAAACGTATAAAAACAAAAAATCACCCAAAATTAAGTGTGAACAACCCTTATGACTTAAGGGTATGAAAAATAGATGTTGGCCGATTCTCAGACCTACTCAATATCCTCACAAAATTTCATCAAAATCCGTCCAGCTGTTTCGGAGGAGTTCTTTGCCTAACACCGCGATACGAGAATTTTATATATAAGATATGACAACAGTCTTG